AGAAATTGTATAAGATATCGACAAAATATTTTTACAGAATTGTTATTTGCGACATGTCGTACTTAAATTTTAGTTGAAAGGGTATGTAGCCATTAAATGGGAGTTTTCTCCCCTCTTATGTCTTATTTTAGCTGTATGGTAATATAACTTATTAACGATATATAGTAGAGATCTAGAGTCTTTTGATTTGAGGCCCTTGTTTTATGACCTAAAAATTGGGGTCATGGTCAAAGTTTGATTTGACGTTCTAGATTTTCACCTTTGCGCTAACTTCTTATTGGTTCAAGATAAAGTCAAAGGGTCTTTTACATTGGGTTACAGATATATATGACATTGATAAAGGTCAACCGGAAGTGACCTTTCGTAATGTTTGCCTTACTTCATGTATAATTTACTAGAACTTTATATTTTTGGAATCTGTGTGAAGTAAGGTTCAAATCTAACCGAAAGTAGCATTTTATAAACCAGACGTACCTTCTTATCTCCCTTATTTTTCGCAAAACTATAATAAAACCATATATATTTTTGGAATCAGCAGCATAAATTAAGCTATTATCTTAAACAAGAATAGACATTTTAAACCAAAATTTATTTTTTTCCCATCTAGATTTGTCTATTTAGGGTGGAAAACCTTAAATTGTTCAGAGTTTTTAATTATTATTAGGTCTTTCCACTTTTCGTGGAAAGACCTTTTGCTTTTCTTCTGATTATTTTTTTTTTCTTCTGCCGTCTGAGATGCTTTATTGTTTTACAACATATCGAAAGGATTTTTTGGCCAATGATGTCGTACAGTAATGGGAATTTCAAAACTCACCCTGTGTAACCGACCACTTATTCGTATAGGAGTTATCTCCCTGCGTCCCCTTTTTCTTGTTATCTACATATCTCTTAAACCGTAAAAGATTTAACAAACTGTTTGCACCAAATTGTTCGTCTGCTCTTAAGAATGTTTTGGTTAACTTAACTGATGTGATTGGATGACATCTTATGGGAGTTATTTCCCTTTGAAAATTTAACATAGGTGATATGTTTGGTAAATTCATACATAAGTCATAGAGGCCTAACGTCTTTTGATATGAAGTCCTGTGTCCATTTGAATGAAAATTGAGGTCAAGGTCAAAGGTCAAGGTCATGTTCTAAATTTTCAATTTTGCTTGTTATCTTTATTTAAAAGAAACCGTAACATTTAATGATATGATGTGTTTGCCAAATAATTGTTTACGATAGGGCGCAACTTCAACCCATTTAAGTCGAAGTGTTTTGGTCAACCCTTATAGGAGTTTTCTCCCCTGATGTATTTGAAATCAGTATTACTCCGCAATCATACAAGTGAATGACCTGGGTTCTTTTGATTTGAGATCACTGACCTATGACCTTGAAATTGAGGTCAAGGTCAAAGGTCAATTTGACGTTCTAGATTTTGACCTTTGCTAAAAATTCTTTATAAAACAATTAAGTCTTCTGCATTTGGTTGTAGATATTTCACCATTTATCAGGTCATCCGGAATGACCGTATTTTAACCGGAAGTAGCCTATTTCAGACTTATCCTATGAAAAAATATCAGAATTCTTATTTTTTAATATCAGTTTTAAGCAACAAATTACCAGGAGTGACATTTTCCAACACCGTTTTTTAAATTTCATTGTTTATTATCGAGGTGGAAAGACCTTCAATTGTTCTCTGAACAATTGGTTTTTAATTATTATTCCTTTTTTTTCCGCCAAACTTTGACAAAATTTCCCTCAGTAACGTACAACATGTCGCGTTCTGGTTCACACTTTGTATCGGTGACATATATACCTATCCGGAACTCACCCTGAGAGTCGTAAAATTTTGTCGGTCCGGAGTTATCTGCCCAAACCTGAAAACCTTGTTATCATTCAAACACCGTAACAATAATTAATAAGTAGAAAAAAAAACGAAGGAGTGGAATTTGTTCAGGACCAAACCCTGGGTCTTCGTTACATTTGGATCGAAAAGATTCAACGACTCATTGGTAAGGTTATGCCCTTTGAAAATAAACCGATGTCGGTTGGCCACTAAAACTCAGAAACCGTAAGTAGTAGTCACCTAGGATCTTCACCAATGAACATCAATAAATGTGACCATGAAAATGCCTCAAGGTCAAACTTTTACGTTGACTTTGACCTTTTACCTAACACCTTGTTATGGGATGATCACAGAAACCATGATTATACTTACGGAAGTCTTGTATAGCGGAAAATGTTTGGGTCATGAAGGCGCAACTTTGACCTTGCCGTAAGTGGCATAACCCCAGTTAACGGTTTCTGAAAAGACAAAATAAGCTTTAACTAATAAACTAAAGGTCCTAGACCCATGGGGGTCTTTGCAATGACATCGGGGACCAATGATCTTGACAGAGGTCACAAGGTCAAAGGACACGGTCATGTCCTAGATAGCAAATTATGTGTTTTGACCTTATGAATTGTTTTATCTGTGTTTTAAAACTTTTTTAAGGTTGACCTTGACGTTTGACCTTACTACTTGTTTTGGGATATCTCAGAAACCCATATTTGTACAGGAATCGTCAATAGTAAAAAATGTTTGGGAGAGATTTGACCTATCCGTAAGGGGCATAACCCCCGTTTACGGTTTCTCAAAAGACAAAATTAGCTTTAACTCATAAACTAAAGTTCCTAGACCCATGGTGTCTTCAGCAAGGACAACGGGGATTAATTACTTTGACAAAGGTCATAAGGTCAAAGGTCAAGTTCATGACCTAGATCCCAAATTTGTGTCTTTGACCATATTAAGAGGGTTTTATGCGTGTTTAATGCTTTTCAATGCATTTACATCTATTTAAACATATATTTTACATTTCGAAAAGGAAAGACCTCTCAATTGTTCACCGTTTCTATGTATGTTGGCGTTTGTTTTTGTTGCAGTTCAGTGTTTCTGTTGTTCCGATGTTTTCCTCTTATAGTTGATGTGTTACCCTCGGTTTTAGATTGTAACACGGATTTGTTTTCTCTTAATCGATTTATGGCTTTTGAACAACGGTATACTACTGTTGCCTTTATTTATCAGCAATCAGTATTAAAACATTTGACTTTTCTACACTTTACACAGGTATTCCCCATTCCAATCTAAAAGACAAATTGAAAGAATTGGTCCTGCTTTGTTTCATCAAAAAGAATGGCCAACGTAGATACAAGTATCTTGTCTTAGGGAGGGATAAATCCGACTTTGTAAAAAAATCACTATGATTCAAACAAAAAATTCTCTGAAACTGACATTATCAAGATGCTTGATTTTTTGACAACATATTTGTTACGTTTGTAGGGCGTGTTTTTCAACAAACAATCGGCATCCCCATGGGAAAAAAGTAAAATAACAAAAATACCGAACTCCGAGGAAAATTCAAAACGGAAAGTCTGTAATCAAATGGCGAAATCAAAAGCTCAAACACATCGAACGAATGGATAACAACTGCCATATTCCTGACTTGGTACAGGCATTTTCTTGTGTAGAAAATGGTGGATTAAACCTGGTTTTGTAGCTAGCTAAACCTCTCAATTGTATGACAGTCGCATTAAATTCCATTATATTGACAACGATGTGTGAACAAAACAAACAGACATAATAGGTAAAAATGTCAAAAATTGGGGTACAGCAGTCAACATTGTGTTATAACCTTAATCACTATTAAAACAAACTAATATGTAACAAAGAAACACAAAAAAGCATATAGACAAAGCACATTAGCAAAATGAAAGACAAGAATACAAAAATTTACCATAGCACAATAACACAATGACGGGATGACTAAGTACAGAGCCACGTCATATGTAACAAAGAAACACAAAAAGGCATTTAGAAAAAGCACATTAGCAAAAATTAAAAACAATAATACAAAAATATTACCATAGCACAATAACACAATGACGGGATGTATAAGTACAGAGCCACGTCAAATGGATATAACCAAAAACAGACTAAACAGTAAAAATAATATGCATAAAGACAAATAAAAGAATACTTAAACACGGAACCAACTGTGCCTCCCTTCTTGTCGACTTGTTCCTTTATTCATATGAGGCTGACTTCATACAGGAACTTCTTAGGAAGAAAGAAAAGAAGTTAGCAGTATCCTTTAACTTTACTCTCCGCTATATAGATGATGTTCTCTTGCTAAATGATTATGTTGAACGCACCTATCCCATCGAACTTGAGATAAAGGATACAACAGATACAGGTAATTCTGCCTCATATCTTGACTTTCATCTAGAAATTGACAATGAAGGTCGGGTGAAAACAAAAAGTTACGACAAAAGAGATGATTTCATCTTCCCAATTGTGAACTTTCCATTGTTATGTAGCAACAGTCCTGCAGCGCCTGAATACTGAGTATATAATTCCCAGTTGATACGATATTCCAGGGCTAGGATTTCCTTGATGGAGGGTTGCTGCTCACAAGGAAGCTATTAAACCAGAGTTTCAAGTGGTGAAGTTGAAATCATCACTTCGTAAATTTTACGGACGCCATCACGAGTTGGTTGATCGTTATGGAATATTCGTTTCACAGATGATAGCGGATATGTTCCAAATGTCGTAACTACAATCCCGTCCCCATTTCCCCGAATGTGACCTACTGAATTGAACTTATTACCGAGTTTGTACTAACATAAGCTACACAAAGGGTGCCACATGTGGAGTAGGATATGCTTACTCTTCCGGAGCACCTGATATCACCCCAGTTTTGGTGGGGTTCGTGTTGCTCAGTCTTTAGTTTTCTATATTCTGTTTTTTGTACTATTGTTTGTCTTTTGGTCTTTTTCTTTTTTGGCCATGGCGTTGTCTGTTTATTTTCGACTTATGAGTTTGAATTTCCCTTTTGGTATATTTCGCCTCTATTTGAGTGGACAATGATACTCGTAGAAGTTTGATTATAATTGCTGTTAGGGTGTTGTGTCCTGTCAAAAATCTATATCACATGATTGTGTTTACGTGTGACCTTGGATTCAATTTATTCAAGTAATAGATACAAAAATACCTCTTTAATTAAAACAATTTAAAAATAAAAAGACATGGTATGATTGCCAATGAGACAACTGTCCACCAGAGACCAAATGACATAAAAGTTAACAACCATAGGTCATCGTACAACCTTCAACAATAAGCAAAACCATACCGCATAGCCATTCATAAAAGGCCCGGAAGTGACAAATGTAAAACAATTCAAACGAGAAAACTAATGGCCTTATTTATGTACAAAATAATGAACGAAAAACAAATATGATATACAGCAACAAACGACAACCACTAAATTTCAGGCTCCTGACTTGGGACATCCACATTAGAATTTAGCAGTGTTAACCATGTTTAAAGGCGCCAACCTTCCCCTAACCTAGAACAGTGGTTTAACAATAGTATGTTCTCTCCTAAAAATAGGCTTAATATTCCATCTTCACTTAAATATCAGAATTATTTAACAAATTGAGGCTCATGTTAAAAAAAGTAGAGAAAATCCCTAACCCTAGGTCGTAAAACATATAATTTAACATGTAAGTGCTCTGGTTTAGTTATTAAAAAGTTCTTTTGTGAAGAAAACAATAATCTTGCTTTGAAGATTTAAACACAGTTCTATAAAAGTTTTAATGAATTTGTATATTAAACTAGTAACTTTATAAATACATTCACAAGGGTGACTGTAGAATAGAAATATTATCTCTTTGGTATTCTTCTGAACGGCAGCAAAACCCTTGCTCAAGTGGGCGTCCGTTTGGCTGTGCAGGTTGTATAAATACACAGCCATGTCCGTTCAAAATGAAAACGTTAAAGCCGATATCTTAATTGTTTATTTGTTCTAGTCCTAAACATGAAATAATTGCACTGGACGTTAATCAAAAATCAATCAATCATAAATACAACTGTTGGGACGTCTTGGGGACTATATTTTCTGTTTTTAATGCTGCCACATCTCAACTTTAAAACAGACATAGTAGTATATTGAAATCATAAATCAAAATTTTAAATTTTAGTTAAAAATTATTCCAAACAAGGGCTTTATCACATCCTGTCCGAATCGTGGTCTTTCAAACAATGTATGTCAACCAGCCGACGATACATCTATCTTTTAAGTTATATGTATGTATAAAATTAAAGATGATTTAAGTTTTTACATTTCATTGGTTTAACAATTTCAATTTACACCAGCGGGCGAAATGGCTAGAGTCATTAGAGAAATAAGCAAACATTTGTTCTCCTATTCTTTCCTTGGCTCGACAAACTACTTCATCTGGCTCATAAGTTTTAAACTCATCACTCGAATAATCAAATACTGAAACGGATCCATCAAACGGAACTTTCAAAATACCACTTTGTATAATGTTCTTTGTGAACGGTCCCTTGAATGCATAGTGGGCAATCTCGCACTTAATATATTTTTCTTTACGTTTGATGACATCAAGAACCACTGAACAGTGCAGGAGTTTGTAATACCTATACAAAATTATGTCACCTTTTTGTATGTCGTCCTTTTGTCGAACTTTCTTCCTTGTTACACTAAGCATTTTCTCATTTCTCTCGAAGCACGTTTTGCACAGCATACCATGTTCGTATTCGACCTTGTTTCTCAATAGTTCGTCACTAAGACCATGGAATCTTTTTCGGAAAAATATTTTGAGAACAATTCTAGCTTTTCTAATTTGAATACTGAGCCTTCTTCCAGTCACACACCAAGAAGCAAAATGTTCGCAATTATTATCAATAACGCCGTACCGAAATTCTTCTTGATCACTATTTAAAGCCTCAGATGCCCTTTTAACTATTTCTTCTGGACTTTTCGGTTTTATACTTCCCCAATATTTACAAATCATTACCATTTTCAAATCGACTGTTTCAGTTTTACGTTTTAATTCGACAATGGGTCTTCTACGACGAATACTATCCCTAATGGCACCTTTGTTTGTCTGATGAATCAGTTCTAAACTAATCGTCTGACTGTTATCATCCTCTGGTGGAATTACTCTAATTACAATTGCATGATGGTCATAAAAACTCCTTGAAAGAATGACATGGTCGCCTTGGTTGATTTCCTTCCAGGTTTTAACTTGTACTGGTTTAATGCAATCCATACAACTTCTAACATCCTCACTCCCATCATGTTTTAGCGATTGTAAAGATGTTTGTAAATCTTTCGAATCCGTATCATCATCGGGCATGCCCAAAGACAATCGGTCTGTATTTGGTTCTATCCCATCACCATTTTTTGTTTCGAGTACATAATTGTTTTCGAGTACTGATTCTGAAGTCGATTCAATATTTATGTTAAATGGAGAGTTCTTTTCAGTAATATCAGCAATGCCTAAATCGTCCGCCTTTTCACTTATTTTGTCTAAAATCAATGGTTTCACGTTTGTCGCAGGTGTGTTTCCCTTTGTCCAATTAGCAACAGTTATGTGTGATGGGGGTCTTTGCATCATCTGAGAATCTTCTAACGTTGAAATGGCTGTTGTTGGATCTAAAAAATTTGAATTGCCTGGAGATTTGTCTGCTTTAATATTCTTATTCATTTTATATTTTTTATATTTTTTGTTTTTATGATCAACATCATGGCCATTTGACAGAGTTTCAATAATAGTAGCATCACATATGTCTCCAGTTCTTCGTTGTAGATTTTCGTTTTCCTTAGATATTACAGAATCAGATTTATCGTTTATGCTATAGAAAAACACTTTGACTTCTGACTGATTTACAGTGTCAGTATCGTTTTGACCCAAAAGTTCAAACTGTGCTTCGACATTTACAGTTTCTAAATTTTCCTCATCAAAGTCTTTCCGATTTATAACCGCTTGCTGTTTGCTGTAAGTGTCTTTTTCTTTGTTGTCATCTTCAGTAGCATCTTTCAAAAGACTTTCACTTTTACCAGTTCCTTCCCTTCGATAACTATCTCCAGAGATATCTTCAAGTAAAGGGTTATCGTCCATGATGTCTTCAATTTTATTCCAGGTCGTGTTTCGTGTTGGTGCTTCCTCGATAGCGTTTTTAAGTTGATTGCTCTCTTCAGTTTGAAGAAAAAGTTATGGAAAAAACTTAATGCTTATTTCTTGAAATCATAATTGTGTCAGTTATACGAGATTACCTATATACGTAGTTTTACTGTTATTCTCTGTGACTTATCATTTGTAATTATCATGTCTATGGGTTTTTTTTTTTACTTTCAGTTGCATTGGTTGTGTGAACAGTTCAAGAATTTATATTTCCACTGAAATAGAAAACAACATGTTTCATGTTTCATGTAGATATCTATTAAGGATGTTCGCTACTCTGTTTCAAAATAACAAGTGTTTTAAAGACTTTGATGAAATGCGAGTATTTATAAAACGGAACTAAAAAAGCAGAAAAAAATACGCGGTCCATGTGCTTGTTTTTCAAATATAAGCCATTGAAATTTGGCTTTAAATGATTGTCTCTAGATTTTTCATACATTTAACATTGACACCTTTTTTCTTTTCAAAAACTATGAAAAATAACAAGGATTTTATAACATTTTCAAAAATGGCTTTTTTAAAACTATATGTTTTAAAGTAATGGAAAGAAAATTAGGGATTAGCGGGCAACATTTTTAACAGCACCTCAATGTGGAGAATAAACACTAAGTTTTCTCAATTGAATTGTTTCATAATTTTCATGTTGGGGCCTTTTATAGCCGACTATACGGTATGGGGTATTCTCATTGTTGAAGGCCATACGGTTGCCTATAATTGCTTACAGCCATTTTATTTGAACTTTGGTGGATAGTTGTCTCATTGGTAATCATACCTCATCTCCTTATTTTATATAGACAAAGGAAGATGATACTAGTATGTGCAAAAATGTGCCACAAGGTATAACTTATTTATTGTGGTCGCTGAAAAAAATGTGCCACAAGATAAAGCTTATCAAATGTGGTCGCCTAGGAAAATGTGCCACAAGGTATAACATCAATTGTAGTCGCTGAAGAAAATGTGCCACAAGGTATTACTTATCAACTGTGGTCGCTGAGGAAAATGTGCCACGAGGTATAACTTATCAATTGTGGTCGCTAATAAAAATGTGCCAACAGGTATGACTTATTAATTGTGGTTGCTAATGAAAATGTGCCAACAGGTATGACTTATCAATTGTGGTCGCTGTTGAAAATGCGCCACAAGTATAACTTATCAATGGTGGTCGCTGAGGAAAATTTGTCACAAGGTATAACTTATCAATGGTGGTAGCGAGGAAAATGAGCCACAAGGTATAACTTTTCAATGGTGGTAGCTGATGAAAATTTGCCACAAGGTGTAACTTAATTATCAATGGTGGTAGCTGAGGAAAATGAGCCACAAGGTATAACTTATCAATTGTCGTTGCTGAAGAAAATGCATCGACAATTTTTAATACGCACATCAATGAAAAAAACATACATGTATGTGGCAAACAGGAGGTAAATAAAAGGCGGATCTGAAAATTTGATACATGATTTAGCTTAATTACCAATGTGCAGTTTGGTACATGTACTAAATATCATGATATTCTGATTTGCTGAGAAAAAACTTCTTCTACCGAAATCAATGTAAAAAGAACACACTAGAAATGTATCTGAAAGAGTAAACCAATATGGACCTTGGAACCAAATATCAAGAAGCTTTAGTTTGTAGTTGCTAAGAAAAATGAGACACAAATGTGTTACGGGCGGACGGACGAAACGACGGATGGACATAGGTAACCCAGTATACCCCTACCTTGGAGATATGATGCAATTGTAGGTTCTAATTGCTCAATTTATATTCCAAATGAACTATATATTAGAACGCATAAATTGGATGCATATTGAATGACAATGATTATAAAGTATATTCACAAATAGCCTACAAACCATTAGTAACACTGGAATCTGTTTTGATAGATAAGATAATCTGAACAATCCATATCGGGTAAATGATACTGTATTTACACAAGACGTGTGTAGGTACATGTCAGGTAAAATCATAATGTTTTAAGTGTTTTACAAAAGACGTGTGTTAGTCCATGTTATGAATGTGGTTACACCAAACATCAAGTGTATCCAAAGTTTATTGGCCGTTTGTACATTATACATATAACGTGACTGTATTAGTTTGAAATTATTCAACTGAAAAGTTAACAACACATTGATGCTTCATTCATACAAACACAAGTTCTGATTACTCGATAGTATTATATATGTGTTAATGTGTTTATCTAGTTGTAATCAATATGGGTCAACCATGTATAATAAATAACACTACACTGGGGGTCTCATTGGGGGGTTCTGATCCCGCATCCCGCTTACTGTTTTGTCAGATTCCCGTATCCCGCTTACACTATGTACGTAAGCAATTCTCATTTTTTTGGTAATTTCCCGTATCCCGCTAGACATCATTTCCCGTTTTCACGGCACAATAATTTGACTTTCACGTGTCACGCTTACAAAAAATCGGCAATCCCGCGTCACGCTTAGACCCCAATGAGACCCACAACACTGTATTGATAACCTATGACGTACTACAAGGTAAATCCAAAAAAGGGGAAGTCCATAAAAACCGTCAAAAAAGCGCAAGACTATATATTAACCGAAATAAACAACATACATAAACATATAAAGTGGTAACAGAGAATCAGCTCAACAGACCAAACTCCTCCTAACCAACAAAGAAAAACAACAATGAGCAATACACGGACATTGTACAGACTGTGTCAGAGATGCTGTATGATAGCACTCTCAGACATATCTATTCTACTCCTTATACCTTACACTTAGTTACTTGAAGGTGTTACTTATACATGTTATAGTCAAATAGATAATTGCATGACAAGATTAGTAACGTCTAGCTATAAAGAGAGAGAGAGAGAGAGAGAGAGAGAGAGATTAATAAATCTTTCCGATTTACTGCATGAATAATTCAGAAAGAGAGAGAGAGAGATTAATAAATCTTTCCGATCTACTGTATGAATAATTCAGAGAGAGAGAGAGATTAATAATTCTTACCGATCGACTGTATGAATCATTCACTAAACATATACTAATGTAAGATAAATCATGCCACACGTTAGTTTACACACATAATACCGATATTCTTTCATAACAAAAATCCTTGAGAAAGTCCTGTGAATCATATATGTTACTAAAAATACTCTCAAAATTATATCGATTTCGGTCACACAGTGTGTTGCTCGACGATCCTTACTTTTCTGTGTTGTGTTGAACGACTTATTTTTTACAAAGGTATTTTCTGAGGGTATGGGTGTGGTTCCTTCGTTTCTGTATTCCTTCATTTTTTAGGTTATTTTTTTTTTTCTATACTTTATACTTTTTGCCGAATATTCTCTATCTTTATATTTTTAAACCCCCATTTATATTCCCTATGCTTTATTTGTTTGCCCTATTTTTCTCTATTCTTTATTTTTTTATCCATTTTTTTGTATATTTGGTCCATTATTCTGTATTCTGTAAACCCATCCAGACCCTCTTAAATGTCTGCAGTTTGATTGCTTTCTCGGTATATTTTCCCTTTTTTGTGAGCATAAAATTCCCTCTAAGGGTCAGGCTACAGTACATGGGCTGTGTTACAGATTTTGGTAAAATTTTGCATACAACTTTGGCTCGGTCATCTATATGAACTGACAATCGAAAAAATAATGCATTTATACATTTATCTTTTTTATTATCTAAAATATCACTGATTGAATTCTTTCAAAATCGATAAACATTTGTATAGAAAGCACATAAAATCGGCGAAAATGTTTTTAAATTTGTCTTAAAATCATAAAATTTCCAAAGATTTTTCTTTTAATCTATATGTTATTGATACATAAATTTCTGTTTTTAATGTAAGTCATCAACTTCGTTTTTACGGTATACATCGTTGAAAGAGGTGATCTCTAGGTGAATAAAATAATACCACAAAACGCCGAAATATGCGTAACGTCGTCCGTCGGGTTGTAGGCCGTAAAACGTCGATTTTGTTAACGTTTCTTCACTACCAACAAGGTAATAGATTGGTTAATAGAACAAAAACGAAGTCGGTGACCATATAAAATTGAGAATGGAAATGGGGAATGTGTCAAAGAGACAACAACCCGACCAAAGAGCAGAAAACAGCTCAATATAAAAAAAAAACATGTGGTATGATTGCCAATGAGACAACTCTCCACAAGAGACCAAATGACACAGAAATTAACAACTATAGGTCACCGTACGGCCTTCAACAATGAGCAAAGCCCATACCGGACAGTCAGCTATAAAAGGCCCCAATGGGTCTTCAACGCAAGGAGAAAATCCCACACCCGGAGGCGGGTTTCATCTTGCCCCTAAACACAAATGTGTATTAGTTCAGTGAAAATGGACGTCACACTAAACTCCGAAACATATAAATGAACTAAAATTAAAAAAAAAACCATACAAGACTAACAAAGGCCAGAGGCTCCCGACTTGGGACAGGTGCAAAAATGTTAAACATGTTTAGTGAGATCTCAACCCTCCCCCTATACCTCTAGCCAATGTAGAATAAACAAATACACAGCAGTACATTTATGTTTATTTTACACCATTGAAACAGAAATTTATGTATCAACAACATATATTTTTTTTTTAAATCTATGGATTCAACTTGTTCATTACTGTTCCTTGACCTTAAACGTAATCTCATGTCAATAAAAAAAGTTGAAACAGGAAACAACGACAAACGTAATCTCATGTGAATAAAAAAGATGAACCAGCAAACAACGACAAACGTAATCTCATGTGAATAAAAAAAGATGAACCAGCAAACAACGACAAACGTAATCTCATGTGATTAAAAAAGATGAACCAGCAAACAACGACAAACGTTATCTCATGTGAATAAGAAAGATGAACCAGCAAACAACGACAAAAGTAATCTCATGTGAATAAAAAAGATGAACCAGCAAACAACGACAAACGTAATCTCATGTGAATAAAAAAGATGAACCAGCAAACAACGACAAACGTAATCTCATGTGAATAAAAAAGATGAACCAGCAAACAACGACAAGCGTAATCTTATGTGAATAAAAAGATGAACCAGCAAACAACGATAAACGTAATCTCATGTGAATAAAAAAGATGAACCAGCAAACAACGACAAGCGTAATCTCATGTGAATAAAAAAGATGAACCAGCAAACAACGACAAACGTAATCTCATGTGAATAAAAAAGATGAACCAGCAAACAACGACAAACGTAATCTCATGTGAATAAAAAAGATGAACCAGCAAACAACGACAAGCGTAATCTCATGTGAATAAAAAAGATGAACCAGCAAACAACGACAAGCGTAATCTCGTGTGAATAAAAAAGATGAACCAGCAAACAACGACAAACGTTATCTCGTGTGAATAAAAAAGATGAACCAGCAAACAACGACAAGCGTAATCTCATGTGAATAAAAAAGATGAACCAGCAAACAACGACAAACGTAATATCGTGTGAATAAAAAAGATGAACCAGCAAACAACGACAAGCGTAATCTCATGTGAATAAAAAAGATGAACCAGCAAACAACGACAAACGTAATCTCATGTGAATAAAAAAGATGAACCAGCAAACAACGACAAACGTTGAATAAAAAAGATGAACCAGCAAACAACGACAAACGTTATCTCGTGTGAATAAAAAAGATGAACCAGCAAACAACGATAAGCGTAATCTCATGTGAATAAAAAAGATGAACCAGCAAACAACGACAAACGTAATCTCGTGTGAATAAAAAAGATGAACCAGCAAACAACGACAAACGTAATCTCATGTGAATAAAAAAGATGAACCAGCAAACAACGACAAACGTAATCTCATGTGAATAAAAAAGATGAACCAGCAAACAACGACAAACGTAATCTCATGTGAATAAAAAAGATGAACCAGCAAACAACGACAAACGTTATCTCATGTGAATAAAAAAAAATGAACCAGCAAACAACGACAAACGTTATCTCATGTGAATAAAAAAGATGAACCAGCAAACAACGACAAACGTAATCTCATGTGAATAAAAAAGATGAACCAGCAAACAACGATAATCGTAATCTCAGAAACGAGAAACACTTATGAACCACATCAACAAACGACAACTACTGAACATCAGATTCCTGACTTAGGACAGGTGCAAACAAATGCGGGTTATATTACATTTCAGCGCCCCATTATTCTCTATTCTTTACATTTCAGCGCCCCATTATCCTCTATTCTTTACATTTCAGCGCCCCATTATTCTCTATTCTTTACATTTCAGCGCCCCATTATTCTCTATTCTTTACATTTCAGCGCCCCATTATCCTCTATTCTTTACATTTCTGCGCCCCATTATTCTCTATTCTTTACATTTCAGCGCCCCATTATCCTCTATTCTTTACATTTCAGCGCCCCATTATCCTCTATTCTTTACATTTCAGCGCCCCATTATTCTCTATTCTTTACATTTCAGCGCCCCATTATTCTCTATTCTTTACATTTCAGCGCCCCATTATTCTCTATTCTTTACATTTCAGCGCCCCATTATCCTCTATTCTTTACATTTCAGCGCCCCATTATTCTCTATTCTTTACATTTCAGCGCCCCATTATTCTCTATTCTTTACATTTCACTTTACATTTCAGCGCCCCATTATCCTCTATTCTTTACATTTCAGCGCCCCATTATCCTCTATTCTTTACATTTCAGCGCCCCATTATCCTCTATTCTTTACATTTCAGCGCCCCATTATTCTCTATTCTTTACATTACAGCGCCCCATTATTCTCTATTCTTTACATTTCAGCGCCCCATTATTCTCTATTCTTTATTTTTTTGGCCTTTTTTTCTATTCTTTATTTTGTTGGCCTATTTTTCTCTATTCTTCATTTCATTGCCCTTTATTCAGCATCTTTTGTCTATTTCTCACTTCTGTTAATCCCATCCAGACCCTCATATAAACATTCAAGCTTCTTAGAGTAATTGAATGTCGATCCCTTAAGTTTAAGTTGAAGTATAGAGGAAATACGATAATCCTATAATACATCATCACACTCATAACTAGGTTCGTATAACATCCTCTTAAAAACCGTTAAATAATATTAAAGACGATCTGTGGTTTAGAAAGTAACTGAAAATCGTGTGAAAATCATGTTTCGAAAAACCGTCAAAATGCGGGATTTTGCACTGCATGATTTTACCAACAGACCCCTACCGCAAGGACAGGTAACCAACTCCTTGTAAACTGTTGGCCACGGGCCTGAAATATGACGTCCAACTGAACACTTTTCCACGCTAGTCTGATTTTCCTAAATAAGAAGTCGTGAAGGCTATTGGATTTTTCTATCAATAGCACTTTACATCCAGATGCTTTTAACATATATATAAAGCAAATATTTCCGTAGGATTTAAATATGACAATGTGTGCAACATATTCAGATTGATTTCAAATGAAATTATAATAAATGATTATGATTTTTTCCAGACTATCTTCCCATAAAAGGACCATGAACATAAACCAGGCCGTTAGTTTTCTCGTTTGAATTGTTTCAAAATTTGTCATTTCGAGGCCTTTTATAACTTGCTATGCGGTGCGGGTTTTCCTCATTGTTGATGGCCGTACGGTCACTTTATTTTAGAGAGTTATGTCTCATTAGCATTCATGCCACATCGATCCTCCGTTGAATTTTTATATTGAAATCAACTTGAGCTGATATTAGTATATATGCATTGTTCAACGATGCAAAACGTACAAAATAGGAATATCAGTCATGTCAGTGCATAAATTTAATTTAAAAAATAATCGTAAAAATGACACGGTCTTTATTTTTCTGTTGATTTTGCAACGGACAAATTGCATATTCACGGCCGACACTCGGCTAACCGAGAGATTGGTCGGTTAATCTATATTGAGTATGTGGCTATATGGGCGGTTGGTCTGTTAATCGGGTCGGTTATACGTCTGTTAAGAGTAAAACGCACAATTTAAATGTTCAACTCTGTTAAATATACAGATTTTTGGCATATTATAAGAACCAAATAAAAAAAAGAAAAGTGTCTGACAAAATGATATCTATTTTCCACTTGTAAAAACATTTCATAGTCTGCGCAAACTTCAGTAAAACTAAAAGGCGTCGCGCAAGTATGTGGTATTTATGCTTATACGCATAGCAATTGTTTTAATAAAAGGCGAAACAAACAATTTTAGATATCATTTAAA